AAATATGGGCTAATATACATTATAAGAGTTAATAGGAAGCCTGAGCTAATGGGCCAATCAATTTATAACTAATGTAGACTTGTGTGTGATTTCTTTGGGACTTAATGACTGTGAGAACCAGGCAGGACAGAAACCTCAGACAACACAAATCCAAATGGATTAAAGACCTAAATATAAATCCTACCACACTGAACCTGATAGAGGAGAAAGTGGGAAGTAGCCTTTAATGCATGGGCACAGGAGACCACTTCCTAAGCATAACCCAGTAGCACAGATAATAAGAGCAACAATGAATAAATGGGACCTCCTGAAACTGAGAAGCTTCTATAAAGCAAAGGGCACTGTCAGTAAGACAAAAAGGCAACCTACTGAATGGGAGAAGATCTTCACCAACCCCACATCAGACAAAGGACTGATCTCCAAAATATATAAAGAACTAAAGAAATTAGACATTAAAATTCTGAATAACACAATTAAAAAATGGGGTTCTGAACTAAACAGAGAATTCTCAACAGAAGAATTTCAAATGGACAAAAGATACTTAGGGACATGTTCAACTTCCTTAGCTATCAGGGAAATGCAAATCAAAACAACTTTGAGATACCATCTTACACCTGTCAGAATGGCTAAAATCAAAAACACCAACAATAGCTTTGCTGGAGAAGATATGGAGTAAGGGGAACACTCATCCATTGTTGGTGGGAATGCAAACTTCTGCAACCACTTTGGAAATCAGGAAAAGGGAGTCAACCTACCTCAGGATCCAGCAATACCACTCTTGGGAATATAACCAAAAGATGGTCAATCATACTACAAAAGCATTTGTTCAATTATGTTCATAGTATCATTATTTGTAATAGCCAGGACCTGGAAACAACCTAGATGGCCCTCAATGGAAGAATGAATAAAGAAAGTGTGGCACATCTACACGTTAGAGTACTACTCAGCAGTAAAAAACAATGACATCTTGAATTCTGCATGCAAATGGCTGGAATTAGAAAACACTATCCTGAGTTAGATAACCCAGACCCAAAAATATAAATATGGTATAGGTGCTGTGGGAACACATTCTGCTCCTTCAGCCAATAACCTTTAAGATACCAGCCCACTTTGGCATGGTCTCTTATTCTATAAAAACAACAGTAACCATAGGCCCACTTTCTTGCTTCCAGCTGCTGCTTCCGGCTGCTAGACTATTCCTGTTAGTTCAGAAGACTGTTGTCTAGGACAGTGATATGTAAGTTTTCCCCTTAAATAAACAGTTTTTTATTATCCATAATTTTGAACTGGTGTGGGATTGTTTTGTGACTTATGCCTTCATCTGGTGCCCAACATGGCCGTTGAACCCACGACCCTGAAATTAAGAGTCTCATGTTCTACTGACTCACTCATTTAGTGGATACTAGCCATAAACAAGGGACATTGAGCCTATAGTTCATGATCTTAGAGAAGCTACGTAATAAGGTGAACCCACAGAAAAACATATATAGATCCACCTGGAAACTGGAAGCAGACAAGATTGCCTGAAAAAACTTGGGAGCATGTGGAAGGGGGAAGAAGAAAGGGGAGAAGAGAAAGAGGAGAGAAGGGGAGGGTTGGAGAGATCTTGAGCAAATGGGATGGTTGAGATGGAGGAAGGACAGATATAAGAGCAAGGAAAGAGATATCTTGATGGAGGGAGCCATTTTGAGGATAGCAAGAAACCTGGCTCTAGAAAAATTTCCAGGAATCCACAAGGATGACCCAAGCTAAGACCCTAAGCAATAGAGAGGGTGCCTTGCCCTATAGTCAGACTGATGATTATCTTAAATATCACCATAGACCTTTCATCTACAACAGATGGAAACAGAGACAGAGACCCACATCAGAGCACTGGACTAAGCTCCCAAGGTCCAGCTGAAGAGCAGAAGGAGGAAGAGTATGAGCAAGGAAGTCAAGACCATGAGGGGTTCACCCACTGAGACAATGTGCCTGAGCTAATGGGAGCTCACCAACTCCAACTAGACAGGGAGTGAACTAGCATGGGATCAAACTAGTCCCACTGAATGTGGTTGACAGTTGGGGCAGACCGAGGGACCAATGACAATAGCACTGGGATTTGTCTTTACTGCATGTACTGGCTTTTTGGGATCTGATTCTCTTTGGATGTATACCTTGTTCAACCTGGATGTAGTGGGGATGGTCTTGGACTTCCCACAGGGCAGGGTGCCTTGCCCTCTCTTAAGATTGGAGGGAATTGGAGGGAGGGTGTGTGGAGAGAGTGGGAGGAAAAAGGAGGAGAGGAGAAAGTGGGAATTTGGATTGATATTTTAAGTAATAAAATAAAATAATAATAATAAAAAGAAAAATATATAAGGGATATATGTATTGGAATAACATTGTTTTCACACCTAGATCTGGCTTGACATCAGACAAAAACCTCATGCGCATTACAGCTATAAACAAACCTTTAGTTTTATTTTAGTTAAAGATACTAATGATCATGCCATTTATTCTTTCCTAAATTTCTACCAACGATTCAGAGGTACTGTACACAAATACACACATTAGCTGTATAACAAACTTTAAAAACATAGCACAAAGTTAAAATGAGACAAAGTTTAATTCCAAATGGAAATTCCAGAAATGACTATTTCAACATGTAGAATTTTGGCACAATTTTAAGGTTTACAGGGGATGTAAACAGGGATGGCATTAAGGACAAATACAGATGAGTACAGAGAATACTAAAGGATGAGTCATAAATTTCTTTTTGACTAAAAAATATATTTAGTGTTATTGTCCATCTCTTGTTCCTGTGGGGGTGGGGTGGGAGCCAAGTCCTTGACTATGCTAGCATATGCTCTACCACTACTGTGGGGGTGGGGTGGGAGCCAAGTCCTTGACTATGCTAGCATATGCTCTACCACTACTGTGGGGGTGGGGTGGGAGCCAAGTCCTTGACTATGCTAGCATATGCTCTACCACTACTCTCCTGTCTTTGGGTTCCACAGGGCAATGTATCCATCAGTTCTGGCCGCTCCCATGAGTTTTCTTCTTGGCATCCTCATTGCCATCCATTGTGGGCACACCTGCACTTTTCCACATTTACAAGCATTACTCCATGGTTCTTGTTTGCCCTGTATTCACTGCTACTGTCAAGAATAGCTAGGTCACATTTTCTACAGAGACGCAGAGAGTGGTTAATTATATAGGAAACAAAACAAATCTTCACATTTCCTTAATTTGAAAATCATTCAGTGTTGTTCCTGATGTCTTCAATTTTTTGAGGAATTTTAAGCAACTGTTTTCAATAAAAGAACAAGTTTATTTTCACTGACCATTTTTCCTCTGCTTTGCAATCAAGCATGATTCAGCTCTGTACAGTGGTAAACGGCTTTTCTTATCTAATAAATAAGATTCTCAGAAACCACCAATATAGCTGTAGATTCATTTTCATTTTATTTTTAGAAGTTATATTATAATTAAGTTTTCTGTTTTAAATTTACTAACTTTACTAATCAATTCTTTCCTATGAATTGAGAATGTAGTAATGTGTAGTGTATCTGGCAATGTACATGTAATACTTATTGTAATATGTTTTCAACAATAAACACAATGCTGTGCTATTTAATCCATTGAAAAAGTCACTGTCCTATGCGCTAAAGCATTTTGATGTGATAGGCATGCACTATTAATAAAAAATAAAATGTCATGGTATAGCAATATGCATAGAACTTAAAAGCTATCAAGTTATAACTGGCTTGGTAGATTGTAGACAATATATGTCAGTAAGTGTAGCTGTACTCCAACTTTATGAAAACTAAAACTTAAAGTATGTGTAATATTCATGTCACAAAACGACATACTTTGTATCTTTCTCCCTTTTTGATTTAGATACCTTGTGTCTGTCTTGGAAGAATAGTCACAGACTTTACACTTCTAAATAAATATAACATTTTTATCATTTAAACTACTTCACATATATTACTTACTTGATTTTCAACTTATTATCTGGTATGCTCTATATAAATGAAGAACACTAAGAAGAGAGAACTTTTATCTCTCACTTGCTATTCTCTCCAGATACAAAGAACAATGCCCAGCAGAGAACAAACATCCAGTAATTATTTAGCAAATAAACAAAAACTGTCCCCTATTCTTTCTATTTGTCAAGTCTGATACATAACAGCCTCTCAAGATATGAATACCTTTCTAAAATATATAAATCTAAAAATAAAATGGACCAAAAACTGAAGAACTATGAATAATAGGCCAAGAAGTTACATTTCATATTGCAGCAAACTTAACCTTATTTATCCTTTGATTTTTATTTCCCTCTTCCTAGTTTCTATATTCATTCTTACTTATACTCAAGTGGTAGATATTTTGATAGCTTGAGTTATCACTAAGTTCCTCCCATGCTTTTGGAAAATGATATCATATAAATATAACTCAATTTAATGTAGCACATGGCCACAATGAAAAGTGTGTAAAGATTTTTTCTTTTTTATATTTTTATCTATTTATTACATATACAATGTTATGCCTGTATGTCTGCCTGGAGGCCAAAAGAGGGCACCAGATCTCATTACAGATGTTTGTGAGCCACCATGTGATTGCTGGAAATTGAACTCAGGACCTCTGGAAGGGCAGCCAGGGCTCTTAACTGCTGAGCCATCTCTCCAGCCCCAAGTGTGTAAAGTTTTAAAAAGTACAACAATAGTAATAAAATATACTGGGAGAGTCATAAAAAGAAAAACTCGTGAACCATCTCCCACAACACTGAACTGAAGGAAATTAACAGTCTGGATCTAGTCTGCGATTTCTCGTTTATTGAAGGCATAAACAAATTTAAAAGAAAAAAAAGCATCAAATTTCTCAGACAAAACATTCTCATACCATGTGTACAACTTACTCTCTGTGAGTAATTTTCCTATTAATAATCTATATTTAAATAACATTTAAAAAAATGACAAACTTTGCCAACAAAAGACTATAATAACCCAAGTATTTCTTACTAAGTTGTTGTCGTCCTGGAAAGCATAGTGCAGAGTTGTTATCCACTTGTTGTCCCCGTTCACCAGCACGTCCCTCTCCTCACGAAAGCATGCTGTCTGAAAGGGAAAGAATACTTTATACAAGTATCCTAGAAAGCACCATCCAAACAACTGCTCAAAGTGTGTATCACAGTCTAAAATGTTTAATATGTTTTTACAATTGCTATAGTCCGAAGCAATTCACAGAATTATTTAGCTTATCACAGACCAACCAACCTATTACCTAGATGATATAAATGTCCAAATTTGCCATTGCCACTTTACCAATTTTTGTTTGTTTGTTTATTTTCAAGACAAGGTTTCTCTGTAGCTTTAGAGCCTACTCTGTAGGTTGGCCTAGAACTCACAGAAATCCACCTATCTCTGCTTCCCGAGTGCTGGGATTAAAAGCACATGCCACCTCCACCTAGCACCCACTTTATCACTTTTAAAGACATAAAAAAATGAACATTACAGGTGCCTTTGACTTTCTGATTATATTTTAAAGTAAGACTGAACTCGGGATCTTGTGTATGCAAGACAGTTTGTACTCATGAGCTATATCATCAGCTCATACAGTTGGTACTAGTTATAAGGAAGATTAAGTAGCCATGATACATGAAACAAATTATTATACAATTAGCCCTCATATTCTCATGTATATACACAAAGAACTTATTTGAACAAACAGAATTGCCAAAGCCTGAAATTAAATAGCAGTATCTGAGAAAATACTACAACAAGTCAATGTAATCCATCTGAAATCGTGATTTAAACTGTCAGTCAAGTTACTAAAATCTATGATATTTTACTTTAGTTCACTTTAGGAGGAAAACAAAATCATGTTACATACTTACTACTAAATCCTGCTATATGGCTTAACTGACCTAATATGGTTTGCACTTAATATTTCAGAAGGCTGACAGAGTCCAGGAAAGCCCTTTCCTGGCTTTATTTCACAACAGTGACCTGAAAATTTAAAGGCAATCCAGCTAAAATCCAGTAGTAACTGCTGTGTCACCCAATTCCAAACTGACAATTCCAAACCAACAAAACTCAGAAGACTTTAGTAAAAACAACAAATTAAACTGTAAATTCTAATCTATCCTGAATTGCTCAGTAAAAACATGCATAAACAAACATAATGAACTATGATATACAATTGTAAACATATACAGAAGTAGATAGTCTGACTAAATTCCTTTTCCCAAGTACTGTCACAAATTACAGCAATTATTACATTACATTCTCACATACCACCATCCCTCAGTGTCACTGGTGTACACATATATCTACATGCATACTTTATAAAAAGTCTCAGGCATTACATTATCTAGTCGTAAATATTTAACTATTAAGCTATCTTCTTAAAGCACAGGTAGTAGATCTAGATATAAGGCACACTGCATATATTTTGTTTAACATACTTTGTCCTCAGCTGCTTATGCCAACTGGGAAAGATATTACTGGTATCTGGTAAAGAGAAGCCAGGATGCTTCACCACACAGTGCACAGAACAGCTTCCACAAGAAATGACTAAGGATCAATAATGGGCCTGTTAAGAAAAATCTGTTCTTCATCAGTATTAAGCCATGATAAACGAACACTCCAGTGGTGTGAAGGTGCTCTAGGAATTCAATCATAATTCTGAAGGAAAAGAAACCATATCTAAAGAAAAAAATTTTAATTCCCTCTACAATTTGGGTCTCTAAAAACACAATGAACGAGGCATGGTGGCATGTGCCTGTAATCACAGTGCTTAAGAGGAGAAAGCAAGATCACGAGCTCAAATCATCCTTGGCTAGCTAAAAAACATGACACTGCTTCAACAAACCAACACCTCACAACATAACATATGCACAGTGTTACCAGGACCACAGAGCTAATTTAGATTTAGTTGCTCATTTTCCTAACTTTTTTTTATTATTATTTTAGGCAGGGTTTTTCTATGTAGCCCTGGCTGTCCCGGAACTCACTCTGTAGGCCAGGATGGCTTCAAACTCAGAGATTCACCTCTCTGCCACGTGAGTGCTGGGATTAAAGGCATGCACCACCACCATCTGGTTGATTTTGAAATTTCAACCAAGCATTTTGCTTGCCAGAGTGATTTAACTTTCATACACTTTCACATTTTTCTGTATTCAGTAATATGTTCTTTAAATTTTATGCTTAATGGATTGCTGGGATAATGAGCAACAAGAATTCCTATGTTGAAACAGAAGTTAAATAAGGTCTATACATAAAGAATAATCCTGCAAAGCTATCACATGACTCTTAACATTCATAAAATACATTCATCAAATTAGTGATCCTATACAGCACATCAAAACTACATGTATCGTGCCTTCAGGATGACTCAGTCAGTAAAAAGTGCTTGCCATTCAATTCTGATGACCTGAGTCTTGTTCCTAGATCCCAGAGAAGGGGGACAGATGATGAAATAATCTCCTGAAAGTTGTCCTCTAACCTCCATACACATGTATGAATAGCAAGTACATGTGTATACTCCTACTTACATATCATGTACTTGTACATGCATGTATCTGTGCGTGCACACACACACACATACATACATACATACATACACACACACACACTCATACAATAAATTTAGATGAAAATCAGTCACAAAGTATACTGATGATTACACCTAGTTTGGCTTCTCATTTACTGAAAATAAAAATAAAGGGTTCTCTCCTTCACAAAAAAAAATACTGTTACAGAGAAATTTTTCAAATAATAGGATATTTAAAGTCTAAGATTTTCATTTTGAAAAATAAATGGAATTTATCTTAATATTTTCATTTTTTATAGCAAGGCACTGAATTTAATATTTTTGGTTGCTTGGTTTTGTGTGTGTGTGTGTGTGTGTGTGTGTGAGAGAGAGAGAGAGAGAGAGAGAGAGAGAGGGGGGGGGGGGGGGGAGGGAGGGAGGGAGGGAGGGAGGGAGGGAGGGGAGAGCCTTGAACTTGTTATCTAACTAAGGATAAGCTAGAATTCTTTATCTTTCTGTCTCTAACTCCTAAATGCTGGACCCAGCTTTTAAATTTACTTTCAAACATACAGTTTAACATATATTTGATGGTCACACAAAAAATGAGACATAGACGACATAGACATTTTTAAGTAGTCAGTAAAAAAAAAAACGTTTTAATATAACTAACAAAAATAATTTGATAATATCTGTATTTGGCAAGTGTGCTTAAAATGCACACAGTTACATACTCTGAGTTAATAATTAAACATTTATTTAAGCAATAGCTTCCAAAGTTTTCATGTATTCCCCACCCCAAGCCCAGGATTTCCACTAAAATAAGTTTAATTTGGAAGGTGGTTAAGTTGTAACATACACATAACCTATGAAATCTTTTCACAGAAAAACTATCCTAAGATCCTTTCAACATCTCTTCACACAAACTGGAGCCCTCAGGGCAGCCCCAGCAATATCTCTGGTTAAGAGTGCTTTATAGTTCTACATTTTTATTTTTTTTAATGTTTACTAGATGTGTGTGCATAGGTGTATGCACATGTATGCAGGTGCCTAGGTCCAACAGTGCACACTTGTGGAGTCAGAGGACAACTTTGTGATGTCAGCTTTCTCTTTCCATCACAGGTTCCAGGGATCCAACTTCCACTAAGCCCCTCACAGCCCTCTCTGACTGCATTCTGTGGATGGCATGGCTGGTTCTGATAGTCTTTCTTCTCTCATTTTGAAATTTCCTTTTTACAAATATACAATGTTAATTTTAGTGAAATAATTAAAAGCACTAATAATTTGAGTATGCCTTGCGATGTATTCAGACTATACATCAACTCACTAAAGGATTCCAATATCTATGTCCAAAATTTTTTACTACCAACATGTTTTAAAATAGTCTAAACTAAAAACCTAAGCGCCATCAACTTTTACAGAGCATAAAGACTCACCTCAGCTCTTTTCAGCATTTCCCACTTGTTCAGAATTTTCATGGCAAATACTTTATCTGCATTTTTCAATTTAACTACAGCAACCTAGAAAAGATAAAGGAAATACAACTTTTAAAGTATCACAAAAAATACTTTATCCATTTTCCATTTTTGTCTCTGTAAGAAAAAATAAATACCAATATCAATTATTTCAATGCCGCTCAATTCTAAGATCCTAAGTAAAATGTCAAATTAAAATTTTACATTAGTGAACATATGTCAAACAAATGAACCATTATTTGTGAACCATTCTGCTGCGTATTTTACATTATATCTTCCTTTCCGAGTTTTCTGCCTAGGAATTTAAACTCATCATCTGTTGCAAAGAAATTGACCACGATGCACAATATAAAATCAGATCTTACAGGACAATGCATGCCAGATTTCAGCACAGTATTACAGGGGATACAGTTATCAAAGGAGAGATATTCTATGGGAAAGAAGTAATACATGGACTGAAGATAATGGTGCTTTTTATTCCACATACTTTTACCCACTATGCATGTATTCCAACCCATCCTTTCCCTTCCTCCCCCAATTCCCAGCAAAGAGCATTTATGACTAACAGTTTTACAAATTGTGGACTACACACATCCTTTCCAACAATAAAAAGCAACAAATGCTCCTGTGTTTTATATATCAAAAAACTGACAAATGAGCCGGGCGATGGTGGCGCACGCCTTTAATCCCAGCACTCGGGAGGCAGAGGCAGGCGGATCTCTGTGAGTTCGAGACCAGCCTGGTCTACAAGAGCTAGTTCCAGGACAGGCTCCAAAGCCACAGAGAAACCCTGTCTCGAAAAACCAAAAAAAAAAAAAAAAAAAAAAAAAAAACTGACAAATGCAAATAAGACTATTCTCGCTGTCAACAAAATGATTACATTTCTGTTTCTACTGTTGTTTTCATTTAACTAGATAATCTCTTTAGGGCCCTTCCATTTGCTGGTTTGTTACAGGGTTGAAACGAAACCACAGAAAAGGCAGGCAAATATTCACCAACAACATTTCTGGTAACTGAGAGGCACCACTAGAGAAAAGAATTACTATCTGTTGCAGTTTGGATATTAGGTGTCCCTCAAAAGTCCATGTGGTGGTAAAAGTTTGGTCCCCTGTGCAGCACTTCGGATGATGGCAGAAGTTTTAAACGCTTAATAATAGTGGGTGCCTTTAAGCTGTTGCAGTCTGTAGGACTGTAAACTGACTTAAGTATTTCCTCCATCCTTTTCTTCCTATCAGGTAGATGGTTTTATTTTGCCACACACTCCCAGAACAATACGTTACTTCATTACAGGTTCAAAAGCAAAGCATTAACTGATTACACACTAAAATCTCCAAAACCATAAGCCAACATAAATTTTCCTTTTTATAAGGGAATTATTTGAGGCATTTTATTATAGTAGTTGGTAGGTAACAACACAATATCCTAACATGAAGGCAAGATCATGTGTACAAATCTTTACAGTTCAAAGGAAAATTTCCAAGAATAAAAAATAGATTTAAATTCAAGCTCTAATTTTTAAATAAATTTTGATAGCACATGTGCATATTAAGGGCACTTTAAAAATTTGTATCTAGATGAGATTTTCATCAAAGTAATATGATGACATAATTAAAATCAGTGCATAATATTTCTAAGTAGCTGTAATAAACAATTATGCTATTAATTAAAATGGTGGAGGATGTGTCAGGAAGATAGCTCAGTAAAAAACCTAGCCACACAAGCAAGTCTAACAAACTGAGTTCAATTGATCCTTGTAACCCATGTAAAAAGCCTGATGTAGTGGTGCACATCTGTAATCTCAGTATTCATATGGAAATATGGAAGGTATGGATAGAATTGCCTGGAAGCTTCCAGGCCAGGCAGTTTGAAGTACACAGTATAGCAGCAGAAACAAGAGACCATGCATCAACAAGGTAAGAGCTAATGGCCAAGTTGTCCTCGAACCTCCATATGCCCAACAACATGCATCCAATGTCCGAATGCCAGGCACTATACTAATATTTCACATGGGTCTTCAACCCCTCAAATGCAATTCAAAAAGCCAAAACATTTCATAACTCACTTAGCATTGTATGTTAAAACCAGGAGATTATTAGTCTTTTGTTATGGTTGGGTGTTGTTGCTGTTTTAATATCTCTTACTGTAAAAACAAAAAATGTTTAGCCAGAGAATAGTTATGCACGTCATTAATCTCAGCATTCAGGAGGCAGAGGCAGTAGGATCTCTATGAGTTCCAGGACAGCCTGTCTATAGAGCAAGTTCAGGACAGCCAGAGCTACACAGAGAAATTCTGTCTCAAAAAACCAAAGTGAAGTTTCACTTCAGAAGCATGTTGCGTAAGTCTGCTTCAAGTCTTGAGAGGGTGATGTGTAAGAATGTACACTACATTATGTTCTGAGATTCCCAGAATACTGAACTCAAAACAACCTGTGGGTTGTGCAGCTCCGCAGAAGAGGTGAACAGTGATAGTAGGCAGCATCCACTCAACACCCCAACACTTAGCTAGCACTTACTGGGGTGTTAGAAAGGTGGTGGCAATATGAATTCTGAAGCCAGTCTATTGGTCTCAAATCTTGATTTTATCATATCACTGTATAATCCCGGGCTTCTTTTTTTTGCGCCCCCTCCAGGTTTCTTATTTAAAGAATTGCCTTTTAATATTTTATTTTTCTCATCAATGGTGAGTTTAATAAATGTACTTACATTATATAGATATAGTAAAGATCAAAATAATTGATATGCATATAAAGTACTTATTACTACAGGGTCTGGAGTCCAGTTAAGTGTTCAATAGATTGTCAGCTGTCACCATGCATCTGTACCTCTACTTTAAACACCCACTCTCCCCATCTCCATCTACCACTACTGCGTGACAGCCAGTATGTCTTACAATCCCTTTAGCACTAAAAAGAAACAGTTCTTCAATTTACAGTTTTAAGTTTGTAACTCTGACACTATACATATACACAGAAATTCCCTCAATTGAAAAAATTCCACATACAAATAAAAAGCAAGTCATAATATTAAACATAGTATAGTTTTCAGTAGTATAATACTAGAACTAACAAATCTTCTTACAGAGAAAATAGACAAAATAATCCAAAAGAAACTATTCATGTGTTTGAAGAAATATTAAGAATATTATTTGACAGAGAAAAACTTAAAGTCACCATATTATATAAGACATAAGTTTACAAAACATTGTAGATCATAATTATTTTTCTACATATACCTATACATAAAATAAATCATAAATTTCCAGGCCAAATATTAAAAGGTTAGACACCAAAATCCTAAAAGATGAACTACTTCTAAAGTTCTTCAAAGAGGTATGACTTTTATTTGCCTTTCTACCTCTTCTGTAGGATACACACACCACTCATCTTGGTCATGACATGAACACTAGCTATATGTGTGGTAGTGTATGGTAAGGACCAACAAGAGACACAGTTCACACGTGTTCATGGTAGGATGGAATACTATGCTACTGCATAGCAAAAAATACTCTCCACAACACCTTAGAAAAGAATTGCCTAAAAACTTTTCCGGAATGAACTGTGGTTTAGAGAAACAACAGTCAACTCAAGAAACTCTCCTGAATTATCAAATTAATGCCATGATAAAAAAAGATTATGAAACTCCCAAGTTGATCATTGACCTGTTCCTCTTTGTTTATACTACAAATCATTTCCATCTTCATGGTAGTAGAAAAACAACAAAAATAAAGCTGTCTCAGACCTCCCACTTTATATCTTGTACGTTCAAGTAGCAAAGTCAAGAGGCACATAGAGGATGGTTTGAAAGAAAAAGACACTCAATGGGAGTAGCACTACTAGGAGGTGTGGCTAAGTTGGAGTGGGTGTGGCCTTGCTGGAGGAAGTGTGTCACTGTGGGGGTGGATTTTGAGGGCTCATATATGCTCAAGCCACACCCAGCATCTCAGTTCACTTCCTGTTGCATGTAAGATGGAGAACTCTCTCAAGAAGTAGCAAACTCTCCAGCATCATGTCTGCCTGCATACAGCTATATCTCACCATGATGATAATGGACTGAACCTCTAAAACTGTAAACTGCCATCTCAATTAAATGTTTCCTTTATACGAGTTGCCATGGTCATGGTGTCTCTTCACAGCAATAGAAACTGTAACTAAAACAGTATGTTACGTTATTCCTTAGAATAGTAGTAGAGCACTTGCATAACATGCAAAAGGCTCTGAGTTCCATGACCAACACATATACACACATAAACACGATTAAAAAGTACATTAGTATGGACTAAAAATTACAAACAAAAATACATTTCTAAAATATCAGTGATGATTTTAATAATTCCTGTAAACATTCTTTGGTGTTAGTAAACCTGTACACAGTACAGAAATGATCAGCATGTGACAAATATACTAATAGGCGATTGAACACAACCTATATATTACTGTGTGTAATTACAGCCCCTAAGAATGACCACACTATGTAACATAGGATTTCAATATCCAAGCAGTTCTGCATGTTTTGAATGGCATTCAGAAATGTAGTCTACCTCTGATATAGTCAGAATTCACCATACCTTCTCTTCTGCCCCAATATACCTTGCCGTCATACCTTACCTGACCCTTCTATCTGTACTCATTCACAATCTATTCTCAACAGTACAAAACAATATGCTTAAATGTAGTTCTGATTACATCATTCTCTTACTCCAAGCTTCTAGTGATTTTCTATCTCCCTTAAAGTTAAAAAGTCAAAGTCCTTAACATAAACTATAAAGCCAGCTTACCGCCCTGGCCTCTACTAACCATTTAGCTCACCTTTGTTCAAGCCATAATGCTTACCTTGTACAATCCCACCTTATGATTTTGCACTTGATTTCTCCCCAGATCTACTGAATACTCTTATCTCCACAGAGCCACTGAGTCTGCTTTCTCACACCCTCACTGAAATGTCACTATGTCCTTTGAACTTTCTATTACATTTCTTTGCTTCCTTTTCACCTTAATTCTCATAATTATTTAACATAATATATATACACTACATAGCCTAACAATGTA